CTGCTGCTTTTGAAATGGGTTTTATATTATAACGTGGCGGCGTTTGTTTTGATTTTGAATGTTTTACTACACGATGGCATTTTGTACTTCTTCACATAGCGAGTCGTTAAACTATGGAATTCGCTGCCACTGGAGGCAGTGACGGGCACCAAGCTAGACTGCTTTAAAAGAGGATTAGACAAATTCATAGAGGAGGAGAGAGCTGCTGTGATGGCTACTGGCCAGCATGGCTATGCTCTTTCTCTATGGTCGGAGACGGTGCTTGTGAACACCGGTTGCTGGAAACCACAAGAGGGGAGAGAGGGCTCCTGTGCTCAGATCCTGCTTGCAGGTTTCCCACAGGCATCTGCTTGGCCACTGTGAGAACAGGATGCTGGGCTAGATGGGTCTGATCCCTTGGGTCTGATCCAACAGGCTCTTCCGATGTTCCTATGCTGAGTTTTGACTGAGCACAGACTGAAAAGGCAGCTGAAAAGATAAATAAATAAGAGCCTTTGGGAATCTGCTTGCGGTAGCAGCACTTTGAGAGAGTGTCCCCCAAACACAAAAGCAGTAATTTACCAGATAGGGGTACCAAGAAATAGAGACAAGCGTAAGCTACGGTGCTCGCTTTCCTGTTCCAGAGCGAACCACCCAAAAGCACACAGGAGATACTTCAAAGCCACCCCCTTTCTCCTCCACCAGAGCTTTATTGCAATAGCCCAGCTGCTGCTCATCGTTTTTCTCTTTCTTTCTCTCCGCCCCCGCCCCTTGCAGCAGCAAAAGGCAGCCTTGCTGAAGAACAATTCAGCCCTGCAGACGGTGTCCCTGAGGAACAAAAGTGAGTGGAGCTGTGAATCCCACGCCAGGAAGGGGAAGTGGGGCAGGGAGTCAGCTGCGGAAGCAGATCTCCTCTTCTAAAGGAACTGCCTTATAAGGCCCCACCCGTGATATACAATTAAAGCAGTATCATACCACTTTAAACAGTCTCGGCTCCCCCCAAGGAATCCTGGGAAGTGTAGTTTGTTAAAGGTGCTGAGAGTTGCTAGAACTACAATCCCCAGAGTTCTCTGGGAAGTAGGACTGGCAGTTAAAGAGTCATGGCTTCCCCTAAAGAATCTGTTAAAAAGCAGGATGCTGCTGCTTTACATTATTAATAATATTTTTATTATTATTGCGGATGGGGCCTTAGTAAATAGGGCCTGTGCTGCTGAGAAGAGGAGAGGGCAGCTGGGAAGATACTGCTTCTGAGGTGCTTTTCCCAGTTTGGGGTGGGGCAGGGGAAGAGTGAGACTCACTTTAGTCTAATGGACCCCTCAATAAAGTGTGGCTCTGAAACCTCTTCGGCCAGCTCTGAAAATAGTGGGTGCTTCTGAACATGTGCAGACTGCCGTTCTGCCAAAGCCGCACCTCTGAGTTCTTTTCTGTATACAGTGGGGATGGAAGTGTTGCCTCCAGGCTGTCTTAAGCACCAGCACCCATTAGTCGTTTGTAGAAACCTGGTGGGGCGTTATCAGCTGCCTGAATTGCATGATGCAACTTGTCCTTTGGTATGACGGAAGCCTGTCTTGCAAGTCTTATCACCCCTGTTTCTCTTTCAAATCTCCAGCCACCACCAGGGAGCGCCCCAATTCTGCCATCTACCCCTCTGAGAGCTTCCGCCAGACCCTGCTGGGGTCTCGCCGGGGTCGCCCCACCTTGTCTCTTTCCAAAAGCGTCTCCACCACTAACATTGCAGGGTAAGTTGAACGGATGGCTTTAAAAGAGGATTGGAGACATTCATGGAGGAGAGGGTTGGCGGTGGCTGCTAGCCACAATGGCTGTTCTCTGCCACCACAGTCAGAGGCAGCAATGCTTCTGAATACCAGTTGCTCTTTCCTTATGCTCTTAAACTAGTGGGGAGACAAAGCACAAATCTCTCCCTTATGTGCCCAGATTTATGTTGTGAGCTTTGTGGAGCAGGTCACCTGTCTCTTGACTTATATCTGCCCAGTCTTCCCTGACCCAGTGCCCTCCAGATGTTGCTACACTCCAACTCCCATCCACCCCAACCAATGGAGACCAGTGGTCAAGGAGGATGGGAGTTTAGTCAAGAACACCTGGAGAGGGCTATGGGTTCCCCACCCTCCCTGTAGGAATATTCTCGAAACGTGAACCCTCTTTGTAATGGACAGTGTCAGTCTTGTATTTCTTATCAGACTTGTACTAAGAAGACCTGGGTTCCGATCCCTGGCGGGTTCCTTGAAACTCACAAGGATCGCACATGACCTTTGGGCAACCCGTCTCTATCTCAACCTCAACTACTTCAAATGGTTGTTTTGTGTATTAAAAAAGATGATAAAGCAACAATTGTATTGATTTAGAAAATTCTCCTCTTCCTGTCCAGGAATTTCAACGATGAATCTCCTCTTGGCCTCCGGAGGATCCTGTCCCAGTCCACTGACTCTTTGAACATGCGCAACCGGACCCTCTCAGTTGAGTCCCTCATTGACGAAGGTGAGATGGGGAGTGTGGGTGATGAAATCCTGTGCCAATATTCTGTGCATATGTGTAGAAAACTAGGAATCTGGGTGAGTTTAACACAAATAGGAACAGACAGGCTGGGTATTTATTTATTTATTTATTTATTTATTTATTTGCTGCCTGACATCTATTTTTAAGAGTGCTGAGTGTTCATCAACCTTGAATCCCCAGATGCTTTTATTTATTTTATTTTTATTTTCCCTCCATAAATTTTATACACTGCTTGATTGTAAACATCAAACCTGCCTGCCTTGTCTCTGTGGTTGAGCTGCCCCCCCTTTTTTTGCATGGGATTTCTGACCAATCAAAGCATACAACGTTCCTGGATGAAGTCTTGGGGGGAGGACATCAGAGCCAGTGTCTCTGTGTGACTTGGCCCTGGGTTCCAAGACCACAACCCCAGATGCACTTATTCTGTGTGCATGTTGTGGTTTGATAGTTCCCAGTGTCCAGCGGCTCACATTTTCTGCGTGCCCTCGAGGCTCAGTTAGGCTTTCATCCTCTTCCCTCCTCCCTTCCATCATCAAAGTCATTTCCACATACGTATAGACACAAACACATTTCCCCTCTTTTTTCCTCCAGGAGCCGAAGTCATATACAACCAGCTGATGAGCGACTTTGAGACTGGCGAGAAGGATTTTGAGGCTGATTCTTGGAGCCTGGCAGTTGACAATAACTTCTTGCAGCAGCACAAAAAGGAAGTCATGAAGCGCCAAGATGTCATCTATGGTAAGGATTTGTGCCACTTTTGCCACCTCTCCACCCCACCTACTGAGGATTTCTGAAAGCAATGGGTCCCAAATGCCATGTCACCTTGGAAGGAAAAGCATAGTCACAGCCAGTCGATGTCTTCCCAGCAATGTACAGTTTGAAAGACACATGAAATGCTGTCAGTGCACAAGTAGCAACCTCCAGAAAGGTAGCTGTGTGAGTCTGCACCAACGAAACCAACAGCATCTTGAAGCATCTTAAGGACTAGCAAATTGATGGCAGGATAAGCCTTAAAGCACATGTTTAACATTGTGTGTCATTTAGCCTGAAGCTCACAGCCATTGGGAATGGGAAATAACCTTCCTTCCTTCCTTCCTTCCTTCCTTCCTTCCTTCCTTCCTTCCTTCGACCCCCCAGTGGAAATTGCTATACAGAGTTTGTGGAATTTAAGCCTTGCCTGGTATTTATAAGCCTCTTTGCAGGGAGGCATACAGAAATTGTTAGGATCCTCCTTGATAACTGTCTCAAACCAAATACAACACCCTGAGTGGTGTTTCTACCGTTTTGATTTTGGGGCCGGGTTTATTGATGGCCAGAATAACAACCTTAAAGAGGGATTAGAGGTCCCACCCAGACCTCTGACACCATGAGCTGAGCGAAAGATTTAGAAGAATCAGGTGGCACAGTCCTCCTGGGATTGCACAACTTCCGCATGCAGGAGGAAGGGGAAATTGCATATTTAAGTGCTCCCCTCTGTAAAAATGAATAAAACTACCTGGCGTGTAAAAAAGTAGCACACCAGGGAGGAGACAGAATTCTCCCTAATGGCACAGAAACACTCAGGTGTGGGTGGAACATTCAGACACGAGCTACCATCTGAATTCTGAACCGATTCATTTCCAGGAAAAGAATTGTGCTATTTGCACTCAGTGTTCCTACACGCTTTCCTTTATCGCACAATTTCTTCCATTTGGTTCATAACTTCTAGGCACAGGTCTGAGAGGCTTTTCTTGTGTCCTGCCGCTTTCCGTGGGAAAACCCGCTGTTTATCGCTGAATTGGAGCAAAGTCAATCCGCAGAAAACTCGACTGATGTTTGCTCCAATTCAGCACTGAGCAGTGGCTTTTCCCAGGGGAAAGTGGCGGGGTGAATGAAAAACCTCTTGGACACATGCCTGGAAGTCACAGGCAAAACAGAAGTGTGGATGAGCCCTGGCACACCTATCCCACCCCATCTTCTTTTGCCTCTACTATGCCAGTGCAAACCGGTTCACATCTTCCCTCTTCCTTCTTCTACAGAGTTGATCCAGACAGAGCTCCACCACGTGCAGACGCTGAAGATCATGACCAACCTCTTCCGCAAGGGCATGCTGGAGGACCTCCAGATGGACGTGGCCCTGGTGCAGAGCATGTTCCCCTGCGTGGACGAGCTCAGCGACATCCACGACCGCTTCCTCGTCCAGCTCCTGGAGCGCCGCAAGGAGTCCCTGGCCGCCGACAGCAACAAGAACTTCGTCATCAATCGGCTGGGGGACATCCTTATCCAACAGGTGCAGCAGCCGCCATTCTTGCTGGCACCCATTTGGAGTGGGGTGTGTGGCATGGAGGGGCATAGAGGGAGAAAGCAACTATTTTATCTCCCTTCTCCCTGCCCAGCTAGTATTGTCAGGAACATGGGATACTGTTTTGTACTGAGTCAGACCATGGGTTTATCTAGCTCAGTATTGTCTACACTGACTGGCAACAATGACTCTCCAGGGTCTGAAGCAAGGGAGTCCCAGCCCTATCCAGAGATACCAGTGGGGATTGAAGCTGGGCCCTCCTGCCACATGCAAGGCAGGTGCTCTTCCAGCTGAGCTGTGGCCTGTTTTCCTGTTGTGATCTCACCTCCTTTCACTTCTGCCTTCCAGTTTTCAGGCAGCAGCGCCGAGCAGATGAAGAAGGCCTACTCTGAGTTCTGCAGCCGCCACACTAAGGCCGTGAAGCTTTACAAGGAGCTCTTTGCACGAGACAAGCGGTTCCAGCAGTTCATCCGGGTAAAGGGCCTCTCCATCCTTCCTTCCCGCTGGGAAGGTCTATCACCTCACCCCCTTCCGCCCCAAATGGGAACTCCGACTCCCAAGGCTGTGAAACCTGTTCCCCGGTGTGACCTTTTGCCCCTCTCTGCCCCTTTCTCCAGAGGCTGACGCGGTCAACAGTGCTGAGGCGGCATGGGGTTCAAGAGTGCATCCTTCTGGTGACCCAGCGCATCACCAAGTACCCCGGGCTCATTGACCGGATCCTGCAGAACTCCAAAGGTACCAGAGAATGGAGGGCAGGGTGACCTTTCACCAAAGTGGCAAAAACCTGGCTTCTTTTTCTCTTAATCATGACCATCAAACAATCAACTAATGCCTACAATATCAACTCTCTGAAGCATTTCTGTAGCCTCATTATGCATGCAATCAATCATCAGGAATCTTCTTTCTTTGTAATGCAGTACAATTTTGTCTTACATTTAACTTGCACAGTTGAAGGCAGGCTGGTTGAAATTGCACAAGTTAAATGCAAGCAAGGCGGAGAGCTTAAAAGCTCTTTTTGTGCTGGGCCTGCTTGTATGGCAAGACCCACTCTGTACAATGACTCTGGGGTGATCTCACGAGATCTCTTGGGCAATCTGAGTTCCTGCAAGGTCACACACAAGCACCCCTCAGTTTCCAGAGCTAGCACACCAAACACACCTTGCCCCGCCCCCCAAGCAAGGCATAGAGCTTCAAGTCTCTTTTCACGTGGGGTTCTGCTTGGGTTACCTGATGTGGAAAGAGTTTTTAAGCTCTCTGCCTTGCTGGGCAAGTCCTGCTCAGCACTTGGGCTCTGGGAGTACTGGGTATATGCAGTTTTCTGTATTTAAGGGAGATGGGCGATTCATTCAAGATGCCCTGCACGGTATTTAAAGTACCTGCACAAAAATCAGACCTAGATACTCTATTCATCGTCATCACCTGCCAGGTCCTTTGGTACCATTCTACCAAAAGTGGAATTGTACACAGCTCCCAGGACATAACAAATTAATAGTCAGCTGCTGATAACCATCCTAATGTAACCTTGATGAACTTCCCAAGCTCAGTAAAGCCATTTGCTGGGGGAGAGAAAATTAAGACTGATACCCAGAGCCTGCTGTGTTGCTTTGTTCAGAATGGTCTAGTGATGCTTATAGCCCTGCTGAATGTCGGCAAGGTCTGGTACCCCTTTGAGACCCAGGAACCGGAAGTGAGCGAGACTGGGGCATTGAATCTGCAATGCAGTTGGGAGGCAGCAACTGTGAGAGGCTTCAATGGGTTCTGGGCATAAGCTGATTGGAAGAGGGGTTTTCCCTGGGGCCAAAAAACCCAATAATCAAACCAAGCCTTTGATCATGGTCTCTCCACCTGCCTTCCCCAACCCCAGGGAACGAAGCGGACCAGCGGGACCTGAGCACCGCCCTGACTCTGATCAAGGAACTCATTTCCACCGTCGACCAGGAAGTGCACGACTATGAGAAGAATGCGCGGCTGCAGGAGATTTACGGGCGGGTAGATGGGCGCGCCAAGGCCGACCTGCCCTGGGAGCACGGTCCCTTCTGCAAAGAGGAGATGCTGCGGCGCAAGCTGGTGCACGATGGCTGCATGCTCTGGAAGACGGCCACCGGGCGCTTCAAAGGTGGGTGGAGCCTGTGGGGTTGTGTGTGTAGCTCACTGCTGCCCTCTAGTGGCATGTGGCTCTCAAGGAGGGGGGTCTCCCAGATGGCAAAAAGAATCCCTGATTCTGAACAGGCACAGTCATGCTTTATATACGTATTTGCTATGGTTATACATCGGATTTTGGCCAGCACATTCAAGGCACGTCGCAGTTTGAAAGAATGACGTTATTGTTGTTATTATAAACCTGCCCTTCACCCTAAGGTCCCAGGGAAGGTTACGGCATTAAAGCACAACAATGCAAAATTAAAAAGAGTTTAAAACAACTTTTGGGGCCCAAAAACAAACTGGCAACCAGTGCAGCTGTTTTTTGCTTTGTTTACCAGTGCAGCTGTTTTAAACCAGAGGTTATATGAGATCCAAACAGAAACCCAGCCAACTATGTGGCTGCTGCGTTTTGGGCTAGTTGACATTTCCTAGTAGTCTTCAAGGGCAGCCCCACGGAAAACATTGTGGTAATCCAATGCTCTGGAAATTACCAGAGCATGGAGTAGAGTGGCCAATTCATCTCTCTCTAAAAGGGGCCATAACTGGTGAGCCAGACAGAGCTGTAAAAAGGCTTTCTTAGCCACTCAGCTTCCAGTGGTAGTGCAGAATCCAGTAGCAACCCCCAAGTCATGTGAGCCTTTTCCTTCCAGGGGGATGTAACCCCTTCCAAGGCAGGCGATTCTGAGAACAGAGGATCCAAGTGACAGCCAGGATGATAAAGGGGACCTCATTATCTCCTTCCAGAACAGCAGTGCTGGGTAGTGGTTCTACAGGATCTTCACTTTGATAGGGGAGTGCGAGGGACTGAATGTGCAGCAACAACCCAAAATACCTTTCAGCCCCTAACGCCTTGTTTCTTCCCCTTTTCTCTTGCAGACGTCCTGGTAGTTTTGATGACAGATGTTCTCATCTTCCTTCAGGAGAAGGATCAGAAGTACACCTTCCCCACCCTGGTGAGATATGCTCTGTGGGCTGTGCCTATTCCCTGGTGTAAAGGGCCCAGCCTCTCAAACTGGATACTCTGGCTAAGGGTAGCAGGACAGACGAAAGAAAGCCCTTCGCACATAGTTAAACTATGGAACTTGCTCCCATAGGAGGCAATGGTGACCACCAACCTGAGTGTTTTTCAAGGAGGATTGGGCAAATTCATGGAGGAGAGGGTTGTTGATGGCTAATAGCCAGAGTGGCTATGCTCTTCTGTCATGGTCGGAGGCAGTAAATGCTTCTGAATACCAGTTGCTGGAAGCCACAGGATGGGAATGTGCTCTTGTGCTTGGGTCTTGCTTGAGGGCTTTGTATTGAGGCATCTGGTTAGCTGCTGTGAGAACAGGATGCTGGACTAACTAGATGGACCACTCTCCTGATCCAGCAGGGCTCTTCTATATGCTTCTAATATGTTTTAGTGATGTTCGTTGTACACTACCTTGGACAGGGTTCTGCCCTGAAAATGGGACAGGTTCCTTTGAACCTTCTTCTTTTTTAAATCACATGATAAGGGATGCACAGGTGACTATGAATTGGCAACAAATCATTACGAGAGCCATCTTGCAATCTTTACAAAAATACAAAGGAGAAAAATGGAAATGGTAGGGGAAGAGAGTCACACTCTCTTGCTGTCTCTCACAAACATCTGTTAAGATAATGGTTAACTTGAGCCAAAATTTCAGGAAATTGGGAATCTTTGGCAAAAGGAAGAAATAAAATCTACATTTTTTTGCTTATCTGGGATGGGTGGAAATAAAGAGCTTTTAGGAAGTTAGGGATAATCAGTGGGATCCTCTCTAAGTGGCCTCCATGCTTCTGATTTGGCACGATGCTGCAACGTGACAACATAATGTCAGCCCAGAAGCATTTCTGAGATGGGGGACTCATAGAAGCGTAGAGCTGGAAGGTACCCCAAGGTCCAACCCTGTGCAATAGAGGAACCACAGCTAAAGAATCCTTGGCAGATGGCCACCCAACCTCTGCTTGAAGCAGAGTCCAAACTTCCAATATGAGTCCAAACTCGCCGTGTGACCTTGGGCCAGTCATTGCCTCTCAGCCTAAAGCTACCTCATAGGGTTGTTGTGGGGTTAAAATTAGGGAAGGGAGGAAACCATGTAAACCCCTTTGGATGAAATGTTGGGGCATGACTGTAGTAATGAATTAAAACAACAACAACCAGAAAGGCGCCACAAACGCTATCAACTTTCTTCCCTCTCTCCCAGGACAAGCCTTCTGTCATCTCCCTCCAAAGACTGATTGTGCGAGACATTGCCAACCAGGAGAAGGGCATGTTCCTCCTCAGCAACACCCCGCCAGAGATGTACGAGGTGCACACCGCCTCCCGCGAAGAGCGCAACACCTGGATGAGGCACATCCAGCAGGCGGTCCAGCTGTGAGTGTTGTGGGTGATGGGGCCCAGCCCTCCTGGTCGGAGACTCTTGTGGGGATGGACAGATCTGTCGGTCTATCAGCCACTTTATTGATCCAGCCAACAGACCTCACAATAAAAACGTCCACACCCATCAACATATGAAAGGAGGGGCAAGATTGTCGATCAGTCTCTTAGCAATGGTGAAACACGGCCACATTTTCTTTGGATAAACATAGGAAGGTAGGAAGCTGCCCTTCTGCCGAATCAGAAAAAAACTAGTGCAGAATTGTCCACACTGACTGGGATCTTTTCGCAGCCTCCCCTGGAGGCTGCCAGGGATTCAACCTGGGACTTCAGTGTGCAGAGAAGTGGCTCTACCTCTGAATGATGGTAATTCCCCTAAATAACTCCTCCCCCCCCCCCGTTCCTTCATCACTGTCAACAGGAATCATTGTCATGTTGGAAGATGCAGGAGAAAATCCCCTTCTGTATTTGTGGATGCATAAATTATGCAAATATTTGGCCCACAGGTTAACAGTAGTAGGGCTAACAGAACAATGAATGGCAAAGGTGAGCTGGTTTTATTGACTACTGGATAGATCAACCTATTTCCAATTTGCTTGAGCTTCATGTTCATAAACCCACTCCATCCTATTTCCACAATAATCAGTGTTTTTTTTATAAAGAACCCATTCCCCCCCCCCCCAGGATATTACTTCACATTTTATGACTGAGCATGTACACTTTTACCCAATTTTTTTTTTAAAAAAAGCCCCCACATTTTAAAATGCATTTTGGTACCAT